GGCCCCGCCCCGCGTTGGCTTCGGCGGACCCGGCGGGCTGGGTTCCCGCGGGTTCGGAGCGGGGTCGCCTGGCAGGATGGCGGAGCCCGCGCCGGGGCACCTGTCGCTGCCCTCGGGGCTGCTGGAGTTGTGTGCGCTGCTCGGGGCCTCCCGGGACAGTCTCCGCGGCGCCGGACAGGTAGGGCCGCCGCGGGGGGGAGGCCCGGGGCTGGGGAAACTGAGGCAGGCTTGTCTGCCGGGTCGGCGTCCAGGCGCTGCGTTTCTCAGGACCCAGTTCCTCTCTGTTCCGGGAGCCGGGCACTGGCGGGCGGGGCCGAGAACTTCCCGACAGTGGTGTCCCCGCCTCTCCGGTGCCGGGTGTCCGCTCCCCCGGGCTGCAGTCGGGCGCTGGCTGGTGACCGTGCGTGGGGCAGGGCGGCCCAGTCACCCCATGTCTGCCGGTGCCGAACACGGTACCGAGAATCGAGGGCTGCGGGGAAGTGCGAGTTGGGGGCACCCTGCCCTTACAGCGGAACCCGTTGGCACCAGGTGATAGAAAACTCACCTGCTGCGTCTTCTAACCTTTTAGCCTCATTTGCTTCCTTGTTCTGCGTCCTGCCCCCAATTTAGGCCAGGAGGGACAAGCTGGATTAGGGTCCGGGAGATTAGCCCATGAAATCATTTCATTCACCCTAAAAAAGGAGGAATGACTCAGGAAGAAATGAGATTAGGGTTAGTTTAAGGGCCAGCCTTCAGCCTGCATTTCGCTGGTCCCTCACTTTTCTTCATCTCTGCGCCCTGTCGCCCCACACGCTGCTCTCCTGGTCTCTTTGCTGACTTCAGGAGTGGGGGCCCTCGTGGTCTCTGACTTTTGCAGTTGTTGAGTGTGCTTGTGTGTCTAGATGGTAGCACTGAAGAGCCCAGCAGGCAGTTAAGAACTGGGATGCGGCCTCCAGGCTGCCCACGGAAGAGTCTGCAGGGCTTGGTGACCAGGGAAACACGGCTAAAAGGAGCAGAACACGCTTTTCTTACAGTCTCAGCCCCAGGCCTTGCTGCAGCTTGCGTCTAGAACTGTCCATTTGTTGTTCAATGAAGACCACCATCTGTAAGGACATTAGGGGCCCTGGTGATGGGAGGGTTAAGCATTGGGCTGCTAGCCCATAGGTTGATAGTTTGAACCTACCAGGTGGTCTACTTCTGAGAAGGTTTGTTGTTGTTGTTGTTAAGTGCTGTCGAGTCAGTTCCAATCCATAGTGACCCTGTATAGGGTTTCCAAGGCTGTAAATCTTTACCGGAGCAGAAAGCCTCATCTTTCTCCTGCAGAGCAGCTGGTAGTTTCGAACTGCTGACCTTGAGGTTAGCAGCCCGATTTGTAACCACTATGCTACCAGAGCTCCTTCTGAGAAGGTTTAGAGCCTCAGATGTCCTATGGGGCAGCTCTCCTCTGCCCTGCAGCGTTGCTGTGAGAACCCACTGGATGGGTTGTTTTGTTGCTGCATATAGAGGAATGTGTTTTCTGCTCCCCGACAAGGTCAGTACCTCTGTGGAATTTACCTCAATCTTCTCCATACTTCCCATGGCCAGAAGACCTTCTTAGAATAGGAAATGACTTGGTTTCAGTTTCTGGACTTCTAGGATAATTACAGTATGTGGGTTCGTTGTCTCGATCTGAATCATGTGTTGGAGAACAGCATGAATCACCTGGAGTATTAACAGTGGTTCTTTACTCACTGAAACAGGCCGAGACATTTCCTTGGGGACAGTCAGAGTGGGGACAGTTTGCACAGCTGCAGATTAGCTTTCATCTTCTTAATTCTTTACACCAGTGCAAAGGGAAAGGAGCGGAAAAGGAGTAGGAAACAAGTGTTCCAAGATGAATTTTGATTTCCAGGACGGGGTCCTACTTTTAAGGCCAACATCAATAGCATAAGTAACCGTAGGGTTTGTGTAGCTAGCTTTATTTTTTATAGCAATCCTAACTGGATTTCCAAGGCTTTATAATTTATTTTTAATTTTACTTAAACACAACAACAGCAAAAACAAACCACTCATGTTCCGTGGCTAAAGCTTTTGGTAACATGGAAACAGAAGCCCAAAGAAATAAATATTCAACTTAAAATTAAGATGATACAGTGTCCTAACTTTATGTTTTGTTTCTTGGCTAGGGGTAGTGTTTGTTTTGTTGACAAAGAATCCCCAAATATTGTTTGTTATTAACTGAATAAGTGCAGAGATACAAGAGGCTTCACAAAGAGAAAGTGGAGTGAAAAGATAATGGACTTTTTCTGTGACTCCTTTTCTTTTTTTTTCATTTGATTCACACCTACAGAACAAAAAAACATATATTCATTTAAATGTCCAAAGAGTACATTCTTAGGCCAGCCTCTGGCCTGCAGACACACAGTCTTTCTCAGTCCAGGGGCCTAGAGCCCACAGCTGCTCTGTCTCTCCACACCATCGTCTCTGTCACCGTCTCTGCGCTATCGCTGCTTTTCTAGGTAGGATCCCACTCTCCACTCATGCTCTTCCTTCTTGATGGTTCTGGGATCATCTGCTCCTGAAATGAAAGGTTAACTACTTCCCCATTTTAGTTACACATCTTCTACAATTTCAGTTTTGACAATCACAATTAATCCTGTTAACAATTACTTACAATTGAATCATAAAATCTTATCAGCATGACCCACCACCAGATCCATCTGGAAAAGAAGAAGACTATTATTGGGTGAAACTAAGCTTCATAAACTCTTTGAAGCCCTCTCATACACACTTGACCCTTGAACAACATGGATTTGAACTGCTTGAGTCCACTTGTACATAGATTTTTTTCCCCCCATAAATACAGTGTTAATCTTATAGTATAGATATAGTACAGTACGGGAAATGTATTTTCTCTTTTATTTTCTTAATATTTTCTCTGGCTTGCTTTATTGTGAGAATATATGTTGTTGTTGTTAAGTGCAGTCGAGTCAGTTCAACTCATAGTGACCCTATGTAGGGTTCCTGAGGAGTGGCTGGTGG